TGGATCACGTATTATATGAGCTCCATAACTCATTATTCTTGAAAGCGGGCTCAGCCTTTAAAGGCTAAGCCAAAGCAGTTATGGCAGCCAGGTGGGCGGGGCGGCATCCTCTTCACAAGCGGGTGGCGCCATCCTCTCGTATTTTTGAGCTGCGAAATTAGTACATCCTCCATCTCTGTCGACAAAGCTATCCAAGGAGAGCGTAGGAACATCAAGTGAACGCGGGCGCCGCCTTTAAGGGGGAAAGAAAAAATGCTCTATCAAAGCACTGAAAACTGAATAGGGTGATGGCAGGCCGTAGAGTTCCACATCGTACCATATAGTCAAGGTTTTCCTACAAAGAGGGTACAGCGTCGTGATGTGTGAAATGGTGGTGTCAGTACGACTCCCCCCCCCAACCAACCTAAAAGAGGGTCTCGCTACGACCCCTTTTCCCAACAACTACCTACCTTTCCTCCTACAACTTTCCAGCTTCCTATCAGTTTTTCCAAGATTTCCTACGTTTTCCCCATGTGTTTCACACAGCATTGCTGTACTACAAATGCTTTTCTAGCCTCCGAATATGCTTCGGATGAAAAACATACCAGCATGATGTAGAACACCAACCTATTGTTACTGGGTAAGTTAACGTGCATTCATAATATCCAAGCATTTAGAGGCACAAAAGAGCAATGAAATAGGCTCCGAGCTGCCACATTGCCAACTGTTGAGACAGGATGAAGTGTTGAAGCCCGCAACTCAGGATTTTGTGAATTGTTAGCATTAACTCACAGAAACTGTTCCATTCTTGACAGCGTCATTGAATGCCAAAGCGAGTGCGATTCGCCCCTCTTGATCAGAGTAGAGAATTCGGGCTTGGCTTCCAACCACAAGACGATTTTCCGCAGCACCTTCGATCCACTTCTTGTTGTCCATGTACTGCTGGAGCACATGGTCCGGCACTGGAAGCAAACATTACACATTAGAATTGACCCCTTTTATTCCTGCCTAGAGGACAGCTAGCATCGTCTGGGATTTATCTCATGGGGACAGTACACAACCATGAGTCATAAATACTCCGGGACTGAACCGGCTGTGTCGGCAAATTACGAGATTACCTGAATTTTTGTGCAGGGTCCTTTGCGAAACTCTGCATATACAGCTGTATGAACTAGAGAACAGCCAGAGCGTCAACAGGAGCAAAAAACTTGTGGCAAGTCAGGAAATGGGCTTTTCAAGAGGATGGAACCCCGGGGTGAATAAGCTTTTTGTCATGCCTAAAATACTGGAATGTGTGACGACACAGTGCTCAGGGGACGCCATGCAGGCAAGATAATGCAGAAGAAATCAGGAATTGACGTCATCAAGGGATCTGGGGCAAGCTGTCCGTAAAGCGGCGGCAAAAAGGGAATTTTGATATTGCAGCTCCCCTAATACTCTTTCTTGTCATGAAATTTGTTCGCCAAAGGTCAACCCTATGGAATGCGTTCCAGTTGTACTAGAGCAGATAAGTGCTCACCTTTAGTTTTCAGGAGTTCTTCGATCACCTCACACGATATCCGATCTGTTTGCGCAAGATCGTCAGGTTCTTGAGAGGTGCACACCCAACGGAACGGCCCGAAACCCATCGAGAAAATGTCTCTGAAATTCAATGGGTTGAAATGACAGCCATCCCGTGGCTACAAATTACACGCGATGAATCACTCAAGCTGATAACTCATTCATGCAGCACGCCATCGCTCGAATTCTGAACAGAACACAAAAATATGTGACATCAACATGGGGACTTGCAGATATTGTCCCCTCACTATGGCCCCAGGAAGAGGTCATCGAGCTCAAATAATCACCCCTTTTGACGGTTGTCCCCCCCCCCAAGTTTTTTTTGCTTTAGTTTTTCGTTATCCTGGTCCTAAATACTGGGGTCAGCCGAACTGTATGGAATCCTGGCTCCTGACCCGACCGGTCATTGTGGTGCTCGTACAACTACAATTTTGAATATTAACAGTTTGGGGAAGGGATGATGTGGCAGGTGGCATGCTTATCACGTATGCGGTTCGGGGTTTAAGTTTGCCTTGGCTCACGCCAAGGCCAACGATGCCCTTTTTCCTTTGAACGATAGATTGGTACCAGATTCGTCTGGGAGGATAAGAACACTGACTTGTACATCGCCTGGCCCCCGCAAGTCATTGTATGAACCACATCGCATTCAATAAGTCACTACCATTCTGAGAAGAAGTACACTCGAAATCCCTGAGTTGTGGTAGGCGTGGTTACTTCGACCAAACATGGCGATGGCTGCGCTTCGTTGAGAAATTTTCATTTTGGGATAGCTGCAATCATGTCTTCGTCAACACAGAACAAAGTGACAGTTGTCGCAAATGAAATATCCCGCGAGAAGCTCATTCTGTGCCGTGTTGAAATGCCACGCCTACTCCGTCTCGAGGATAAGGAGTGTGGAATGCGTGCCGCACCCAGAAACGACCAAGACTTCATCCTCTTTCCTTTCATCAGCGTTGTAAAGATCATTATATGCTGTATAGTTAAACGGGCAGAACCGGTGCAGTGGCAAATGACCAGCTTGTCAAACGCGCGGTTCTGTGCCCAGAACAGGGATCGTCCACGAAGGCCAACCTGGTCTTTTACCTTACAAAGCAGATATATTGGTGAGGGATTCGCAAAAAAGAACTGAAACCCTGCCTGACTCTGGCTGACTACACCTCGTTGTGCAGGCCATATCACGCTTTATAAGACCTTGTGATTTTGAATGAAAGTAGAATACTGGTCACATCCCAGCAGGGGTTGATCAACGGTGAGGGCTATATTCTTCATCCTTCATGATTAAGAGGGGCTCCGGGTACTGCTTATTGCTAATATCCACCACACAATGATATTCCACTCAACGCTAGAATTCGTATTTTGCCTTTAGAACGAAAGGGCAACGAACTTTTGAAGGCTAGTTTCCGAACGAGCGTGGAGTTAACGCACAACCTCATCCTACAATGATGGGCAACTTGATCGGTCCATTTTTATTTCAGAATAGAACCAAGCCCCACAAATTGTCTGTCGCACCCGGCGGCCTTTGCCTTTTTACAGTTCCTGTTGGTATTCGGTAGTGGTGCAATCCCTTCCTTTCGACGTAGCTAACGCTATTTTTAGACGCCCGGGTGTTTTGGGTTACTCATAGACACTACTGCATTCCCGCAGCGTAATAGTGCACGACGTCATTAAAGGGGCATATCGAAATGAACGTTGTTGATGACATTTATAGTCCTAAAATGGCAGGGTGGGAGTGACGTAGTGACGCCGTTTATCACACCGACGATCTAGCAGTCGAATCTCGGACGGGTTCCTTTCCATGTCAGCCAACCCTTAATGGCCTCGGGGGTCAGTCATTCCTGAGTAGCTACTAGAATATATTGTATTAAAGTCATTGTGAAGGCCAATGGGCCAACTAGCCCCTAAAAAGCCGCTACCACGTTCAGTGGAGGTGGAACGTGTGGAAGATTCCAAAAGGGGATGGATGAATTTAAAAGCTTTCTCTCAACAACAATTTTCAATTTGCGCAGGGCTCAATTTCAACTATGAATGGCACTTCGCTTTCTCGTTAGTTAATAATTGCTACTGGTGTTTAGCGCAGTTGGCGATGTGAACCCTCGCTGAAGTGATGAGTTAATGAGCAAGAGACCAATCTTCCAGGGGAGACATCAACATGAACCCCAAAATTTTCAGGGCGGCCCGAGGGACAGCTCACCTCTGCGACCTCGCATTCTATGCAGGTATCGCCTTAACGACTATGGTCACTAAATTCAGTCGTTTTTCCAAAAGTGGGGTCGAATGATGGGCCCAGACTGCAGTGAGCAGCACTTTCCCACGACGTACACCTGCTACCTCCGCTCTACGAGGTCGTTCTGTCACACCAGCTGAGATTCACTGGCTCTGTTCGGAACTCTGATCTCAAACCTGCTCCAGTGTTCTGCTGAACGATTCGACTGGTGTACGGCCCTTTTACACCATCTACTACTCGATTCGATACAGCCACTGTTGCAAGAACATTGTAGAACAGAGGACACGAACGATTTTCGCGGTGATACTATGGCGGAGTGGTTATAGATTGAATCAAAAGCAGGTGGCACGAGTTACTTGGAACTGGATAGAAAATGCTAGCGGGGTGCATATAGTGGGGAAAAGGTGAAAAAACGAAGTGAAACGGTCAAAAACCTGCAAAGAAAAGCCTTCGTTCTTAATGGCTCAAGAAGCAATTTTGGACGAGTTTCCCGTAGCTACCTTTGGCCAGCAACAACTACGGTGTAAGATACGCGCCTGGGGCCCAAAACGTATGCACTCATATATCCATGCAGCACCGCGGCCGCTTCATATCAGTCCCTTCGCTTCATATTTTACTTCGCAAATGAAGCAATACGAGCATCAGGTACGGTCGTCCATTTGTGGGCGGCGGGCACGGTGGGCTTCCAGGTCGATATGCTGCACAGCACATGCTTAGAGAGGCGGAATTCCGGCCTGTCAAGTGCACTAATCCTACTCTCCTTTGTGGCCTATCGTGCCAATTGCCTTTGAGCGATTTATGTCAGGAGTGGTATCCACTCGCACTTTTCACCCTTCCTTTTTGGCAATCGTTGTAACACTTGGACATCGCGATGAACTCCCGCTCCAACGAATCAAGGGAAAATACGCGACTAAAATCAAGCTTAGCCCTGAGTTTCATCAGGAAAACTAGTAAGCCGGATGGGACCTATTACGAAGGAAAGGAGATTGGGCTAGGTTGACCAAGTGTTGTGGGACTGTAAAGGAGCTTTGAATCGATCATATTCCGGGGTCAATTCGCATAAACTTCTGTATAGCGTAATCGGCGCTGATTATCGACGGGGGGGGGCATTATGCTTTTCATAGATTTGCCAAGCTATCTAGGTAAAAAAAGGATGAGGCGGAGGTGGTGTAGTGACAAGTGGCGCGCTTACCACTCGCGCGGCGCCGGGTTCGAATCCCGGGTCGACTCCCGCCCAGGCCAACCAAGCCTTCTACCCTCCGGGGACGGTAAATTGGTACCAGATTCGTCTGGGAGGATAAAACACTGACTTGTACATCGGCTGGCCACCGCAAGTCATTGTATAGGCCACATCGCATTCAATAAGCCACTACGATTCTGAATGGAAGTAGAATGCGTGCCGCATCCCACAAAGGGATTGATCAACGGCGAAGACTTTATCCTTTATTTATCCTAGGTACCCTTTTTTCGAGTTGACACGTTTTAGGATGGTGGCTAGACGATCTTGCTCCAGCTTCACAAGCGTTCACAAGTTTTACCAGAGTGAGATTTGTAAACCGGAACCAGGGAAGCAATTATAATACAAAATGCCCCCCCGTCGATAAACAGCGCCAGCGCAATC